ACTTCTAACTCGTAACTATGAAACTTAGCTTCGCTTTCCGTAGTCTTACCGCTCGCATAGTACACAGGGTGGAAAAGACGATCTACACTATCTAGCTGCAATAACATCGCTCCGTAACCTCGCGAAGACGCATCGGTATGTAACTCGGTTTCCGCACTTGGACAATAAATCCGCAAAATCGGTTTTCGGCTAAGGGCTTCCTTTAATTGATCGAACGATCGCTTTTCACTGTCGCCAAAACGAAATACAATTCCATCTTTTAATAAGTTAGTTAATGGGTATGCGATAGACGCGTAATTCGGCACGAATTTTCTGAAATACCCGGTCAGTCCTAAAAAGCTCTGTACTGTTTTTTTATCAGTCGGCACAGGAAAATTTTTCACAGCACTCGTCTTTTCGTCTGATGGAGTAACGTCTCCATTCTCTATAATAAATCCTAAATAATCGACTCTCGTTTTCAAGAGCTGACACTTTCCCCAGTTTATCTCTAACCCGTAAGAACTGGCTGTTCGTAACACCTCTTCTAAATACTGTAATCCCTCTTGAACATCGCTAGATGGTATAATCAGATCGTCCATATATAACGACACTTTTTTTTCTGCAACTAATTTAGCAAACACGGCGTTTATGTACCTCTGAAAATATGCAGGTGATGTACTCAACCCGAAAGGCATTCGTAAAAACTCGTAATGTCCGTTATGAACTATAAACGCGGTATATTTACGGCTATCCTCTGCAACTCGAACATGAAAGAATCCGTTTTTCAAGTCTATTGTGCTAAATATTTTAGCCCCTCGTAAACGGTCGATCTGATCTTCCATAATAGGCAATGGGTATCGCGTCTTAACTATCTTTTCGTTCAACTTCCTATAGTCAATGCATACTCGCGTAGTACCATTCTTTTTTTTGACCAACACCGCTGGACTCGCGTATTCCGAAGTGGACTGTTGAATAATCCCCTCGTCTAACCACTTACGTATTTGTTCGTCGAGCGTCTTTCGTTCTGTTTCGGATATTCTATTCGCACGTCGGTACACGGGTGTTTCGTCTTTTAAAACAATATTGAGTTCAATTCCTACGTCTTGCGTTTTTAACGGTTTATATTCCGATACTAATCTCTTTACTCTGTCTCTAGCCTCTGGGTTCTCGATATGTTCAACTGCCGGTTCTATAACCTTGTCGCTATAGTCTATACTATTTACCGTCGGTAATTCTGAAAATGGTTCGGGATCTGCCGAAATTCTAAATATTCCTTTCTTTATTCTTAGTTCGACTTTGTCTTGCAACAACACATCTGTACCTATTAACATAGCGTATGGTAACAACACATCAGAGACTACATGGAATGTTACATCAAAAGTACAATCGTCTACACGAATATCAACACAAGTTTCGCCTAACGTCGCGATTTCGTTTGAACCTACGCCGCGGAATTTCGTGCTTCGTTTAGTCAACGCCGGTGCCCCGATTTTTACATATGTATCCGCGCGCATTAAACTAATGTCACTCCCGGTATCCATCAAAGCCGACAATTCGACACCGTTCGCCGTAACCTTTTTATAACACTTATTCGTTCCTTTGTCCGTCGCGTTACAACTTTTGTTTTGGTTCGTCGTTTGTTTGTCCGCCGTCGTAGGACATTTTGTTGCGATGTGCCCGTGTTCGCCGCATTGAAAACATTTAACGCCTTTCTCTTTCGTCGGACAAGACACGCTCAAATGATTCTTACCACCACAATTAAAACACCGCTTACTCTCTTGTTTATCAGTCTCGGAACGCGTCGACTTCTTTTTCTTATCGTCTACTTTATTATATCTCGACTTGGTCTTTATTGCTTCGTACACTTCGAACTTACGTTTTAATTCGGAAATACTTGT